AAAAACTAGCAGCCTAATTCTTTTTGATTCTTGATAAATGAAATTCCGATTTTGTATTAATCTATGTTGTATAGATTATCGAAAAATGATTTTTTAAATTTTACAAGACAGATTAACTAATTGAAATATTCATTGTAAATTTAATTGCATTTCATCTTTACACCAATATGTAATATTTTATAATGAATGACACAATCAGTAACACTCAAATGACGATAACTTAAAGTACAGTATAGTGAATTGAGTATTATATATTAAAATAATAATAATTGGATAAGATTGTAGCGATTTGCGTCTAGTTAGAAGGTATCTGGAGAAGAGCATAGCAGGACAACAGAACAGCTGAGCCGAACTGACCAGCAACCACACAGAATGCAGTTTTACATTTAATAAGGATAGTAATAAATACGAATCAGTAATCAAATAAATTTCAATTTCAGAGAATCTAGAAAACAAAATCTAGAAGCGGATAACTTAAAGATTTTCAATTGTTACAAAGATAAGAATTCAAAGATAAAAGATGGAATTAGGTGATTTAAACGGTTACATGTACGATTTGTGAAGTTATTTGAAATAATGTGTAAGATATTATATCTAACCGAATAATTGAAAAGTCAAACAGTCAAACAGTCAGTCAGTCAACAGCAGCATAGAACTTCGTACGTACATACATCATTTCAAGTTGCCATATCACATTAGCACAGAGATTGCAGTTGTCACTTCAAATCCCGTATTAGTAGAGGTTGTAAAAATACTAGTAGTAATAGGAGAGATGACGGTTCGAAGATATTACTATTCAAGAAGTAGAATCTAGAGAAATAAACTTACAAGCAAAAGATCAAGGTGATGAGGTACTCTGAGGGTTAGGATTTGAGAGAACACAAATAGTAGATGCACCTGCACCATTGCAAACGATTTTGAGCAATGTCATTCAAGGTTTCTAACCATCGATTACTATCACCTCGCAGGCCGCCAACCAGGTAGTCTACACTTACCAACATGACTCAGTTCAGTTGTCAGTGACTTCATGGATTTGTGTCATGTTTTGATTTCAATTCTTTTTAAATTCCTTGCAACATTTACTTCTTTACTTCTTAACAATTTCAACAAGTTATATTTCTTCTTATCATTAATAGTGAATCTCAAAAAAAGCAAAATTTAAATTTTCAAACTCCCGCCTTCCGATTAAAAATACAATAATACAAAAAAAGTTGTCGTATATATCAATGATTATTGTGAAATTTAACACTTTCACAATGTTAATTTCTCAAGAATTTCGCAATTGTTCATCCTGTTATTGTCATTATTATTATTAATAATATTTAAAACGAATTATGTTTGTGTATATTGTTTTCAGTCAAAAATACAACATGTTTTATTTGCTTGTGATAATTTAATTTACTTAATAAATTAGATTTCATTTTTTTGTTTTTTGCTTCATCGAAGACATCTGGTTCCATTTTGTGTTACACATGATTTATTCACTCTCTCTTTCTTAAATAAAAACAAAAAAATTCATACATACATTTTAGTCAATTTTATTTATTTTCATATATCTAAAGCGAAACAGTGTTTTTTTTATTTATTATTATTTATGGTTCATTCCAGTATGTATTTTTAAATTTTTTTAGATAAAAGAAAAAAAGAAAATTTGTTAAGTTCAAATTTACATATGACGAAAGCATAAATAAGCATATGTTCAAGATATGTTTCGTTCAATATTCAATGTTGATGATGACGATGATGATGATGATGATGAAGGGGCATATTCAAATTATTGTATATGTAAGTCCAAAATTCATAATAATAATAATAATAATGGTCGGTGGAGATATCTATTCTAGACTTATTATAATTGTAATTTTATCAAAAGCATGTCGATTGAATGAATCATACATATTATATTGATAATAAATTAATCGTTCATCTAACCAGTAAATTCATAACATAAATACAATGAACACATGTGTTAGTAATCTATATCTACAAAAATATGCATGTAATTTATTTTTATCAGAAAAGTGTACCGACCCTTACTACTACATAATGAAAGGTGATACGGGTTAGAAAGATATATACATATTATATATATGACTTGTTGAATATATATTTTGTTTATTAACTATACATTTGCCTGAAGGTTATTGCCTGATGACAGTCCCAGTTTTAAATGAGATGAGTTCTCTGTAGGATTAGGCAATAAGAAGTAATAATTATATCACATTTGAAATCAATCATTGTTAGACCATCATTAGTAATCTGGAAGCACTGAAAGACGACCGTTTGGTCCTGGTATGGGACTCATCAGCAGTGCGCACGACTCCTGCACCTCGCAGGATTCGAACTCAGGGACTTCGGGACTGTGCGCGAACGCCCTAACCGTCAGACCACTGAGCCGGTATCCAACGGTGTTATTGTCTAACTCTGATTGATCTAGGGATTTTGCGCGACCTCACCCATTTGTCTTTGGTAGTTACTGCCTACACCGAACAGGATTGAACTGCATTGGTCACGTCTTCTCAACTAAAATTCCAAGAATTTCCTCAAGAAGCTAGTCACTAGTGAGCACTGTTACGATATTTTCAGTTAGAGCTTTGGAGATTTGTGTTTTTCGCACATTTGAAATCATCAATCAATCATTCTTAGATCACCATTAAAAATCAATTTATATAATCTGACATGAAAAGTATAGTTTACAATAAGTAATTTAGAAAACGTATGGTTATAAAACAATGTGAATTGAGCAAAGGCAATTTTCCTTTAATCATGCTTTTGTCATGACTTCTACTGTACTAGAGGATATCAAGTCTTGAACTATCAACGATTGTAATTAAGATTATGAGGTTTTATTGTTTATTTTTAATAAATAAGCATACAGGTAGACAAAATTATACGTGTGTCATTGCAAAATATAAAACAGTTCTTATATATATGATTTAACAGTGTTTATTTACTTTCCAGTACTTGGTGATTGGTTCGATGTTTTTTAGAGCACGCTATTGAAACACAGAATTATTCATTCAAAAGAAGATCAGTAGGGATTTAGATTCTCCTATGAATCCATATAGATGTTGTCCAACAGCTTTCACATTATTTATGTTCACATTCTGGAAATTACTTTCTTACTTACTTAGGCCTGTTACCACTCCTAATGGAGCATAGGTCGCTAACCATGATTCTCCACCCTACTCTGTATTAGGCCTTGATTTCCAGTTTTGCCCAGTTGACGTTCATTCTTTTCATATCTGTCTCTGATTCTCGGTGTAATGTGTTGTTTGGTCTCCCTTTTTTGCTTTCGCCATGAGGATTTCAGTTGAGGTCTTGCCTCGCGATGTTGTTAGATGATTTCCTCAATGTATACTCTATCCATTTCCAGCACTTCTTCTTGATTTATTCTTCCACTGGAATCTGGTTTGTTCTCTAGATTCTCTAAATAGTCGATGAAATAAGGCTATGAGGCTATTTAAGTTTAAATTCTAACTATTTCTAGTAATTAGTTAAACGCATAACTTTCTTTTGTTCAGTTTGCCAGCAGCTGTATGATTTAATTGAGAAATTTCTTTGAACAGATAACACGTCAGTAAATTCTTAATAAATTATATTTAGAAACATGTTTGTAACAGAAAAAAAATGAGCATTTCTTGTGGTATCCCAATAAGTGTATCATGCATGACATAACAAGCTTTTGTTTAGGAGTCATTATTTACAAAATAAAACTCTTTCTAAATGAATAATGATTAATGTTACAGTTGAATTTCCCACAAAACACAGAATACCGATATTATGACTTGAATTGGATCATCGCTACAGATTGTTACAGATATATTATAGCACTTCACACATACATTTGAGTTTGTTTACGTTTAATTTAGTTAAGCTCTTTTATTAAGTTATTTAACCTTCAGAGACATTCAAACAGCAACAACTTGTCGATACTTTTGTACTTTCATTATTATCATCGCATTTGTAGGAGCATTTATGCTCGAGCACTGGTTACACTTTGTGCACATACTCATTGTACTTGCTTAATGTTAGTCTCTGAAATAATTAGGTAACTCATTTATTTTCCTATACGTATGTGTATATTTTAACCCTATTGATTCTCTCCTCAGCATTGTCATATCGTTTCACTTTCGCTTTGTATGCCTGTAGTTTTGTTTTCGATGTGATGCGAAGGTTATCAAGATGAGCAGCATACGACATTTAAGAATTACATCGAATATTCACCGTCACAATAAATATATATATATCATTTTAATGACAAGTAGTACAAGCCAAATAGTTATACGTTAATTATCTATATAGAATTATAGCCACTTATGTTCACCACAAAACTATACAGTTGATGTAAACGCAATGGAATAGGCTTGACAAAGATTACATAATAATCAGCTTGGTGAGTTTTTTTTAAGTCTTGTAAGTTGGTGATATGAAAAGAAAATGGTATAATGTTGGTTTAATTTACTTGAAATTAAATATTTTACTAAAAAAGAGAAAACCGTTACAAACAGAAGTTAATCGAACAAAAGTAACCCAGACGAAAAACTGTGCGGTTGATGGTAACGTTTAGGTCTATGTTATAATCTCATTTTTAGTGTAGTCAGATTATTTTAGTCAGAAGAAACATTTTCAGAAATGTTAGGTTGTAGTTATTAATGTTTTTAAACTCTACATCGTGAATATTAAAGCATTGAATTTCGACATTGAACGAACTGAATGCTCAAGAATAAAGTTCTTCAATGTTCAATAAGTTATTGTTTCAATTTCACCTTGATCGGCTTAAAAAAACTTCTAATCCACATTGATTTCGATTTTTTATTTATTTTGTGTTAAAAATCACTTTCATATAAATATAGTTTATAAATCAAACTGAAGGGTACTTTTTTTACGCAAACATTAAACCATTGTCCTTTATGTATGCAGGCAGAATAACTACGAAAATAATTACATTTTCTAAAGCTAAATACATAAACTAATCATTAAAAAAATACTTTAAATGATCATCTATTTGACTTGTTGACATTGAACATGATTAAATATTGATTTTTAAATGACAAGTGTGAAATAGTCTCTTCTTTTACCGTATAGCAATATACATATACTAAACCAACTAACACAACAGAGCGAACTTCAGTTGTCATATTAAAAGTGCTAATAGTAGTAGTAGTAGTAGTAGTAGTAGTAGTAGTAGTAGTAGTAGTAGTAGTAGTAGTAATAGTAGTAATATTAATAGTAATTGTTGTTGTCTTCGTCAAAATATTATTCATTGCAGCGAAGGTAATAGCGATTATTTCAGTTTTTAAATGTCAGAAATGATAGTAGTAGTAGTAGTAGTAGTAGTAGTAGTAGTAGTAGTAAGTATTGGTCAAGTTATATCTAAAATTCGTGTTTGGTAAAGATTTTTCTTGAGATCTTCTTACGCTAACTCTCTTCAACTACAATCATAAATCACTTATTCATATATGACTCCACAGGAGATGATGAATTTATTTTAATACTACACACAAATAGTACATTTTAATGTTTTTAATAAAAGCAAAAAAATAGAAGTATTTTTAAAAAGTCTATTGCACAAATGTTCGAAATAGGTGATAACAATTCACATTATTCGATAAAGAAAAAAGTAACTTTACATCCATCTATCTTCGTACAAATAACCATTGTGGTACATACATACAAGTAAACAAATCTGTGCAATATTTGAAATGTGTTAATTTACACACACACACACACAGAGTCATTACAGAGATAATAATCAATGAATGCTAGACAATTCAATGACTAGTCTATTAAAAGTGTACTTATTTCCTAATATTGATAATTTAACAAGTCAAGACTGACTGACAGATGATAGATATATTGTGTTCGTAGTTGAAAAAATTTCGATTTATTTTTTTTGTTGTAAATTGTAATTATTTTTTAAAATAAAAACATTACTGTTTTTAAGTGAATTAAATAATTTTCTTAATTTATTTTAGTGTTTTGGTCTGAAGGTTAAAAAAGAGTAATTTTTTTTTCTGAGCTAACAAAATGTCATGATGACAGAATGGAATAATAGTTGTTGATATGATGGAGAAAACTGAGTCAGTGGTTGTCTATGGTTCTTGGTGTTTGTAAAAGTTTGTTAAAAATCAAACTAGAATTAAACATTAACTTAGCATAAGTTCTTTCTAAAATAAGTCATTTTATTTGCTGATTCACGTTCTAGAACACTTATGGCTTTATATTAGTCTATATTTATTTATCAAACATTACTGATAGCGGTTACTGTTATGCTGGTCAATTGACATGATTGAAACTACTAAGAGTTCACCTTAGTCGGAACGAAGACATATGGTCCAGCGACACGATAGGCTACTACAATCCGAGCGTTCCAAGGCCCCGCTAAGTAGAGGAAGAACTCTGGATATGGCGTAGAAAGTGTATTCGATAAGTACCCAGAAAATATAAGGTCAACAAGCATAAAAATCGAGTTTGTTTATACATGATAGAAACGTCCTTGGGAGAGCCACAAAAAAAGCGTACTAAAATAACACATCAACCAATGACAATCAAGGATTTACCGGGTGGGAAGTGAATCTCAAGGTCATCTGATCATCCCATGAGCGAAAGTATGAAATCCAAATTTAGGACTTTTATCAAGTGAGTTCTGAGGACCTAACGTCCCTAACAGTTACCTGCTTACGTTTGTTACTCCTCATGGAGTATAGGATGCCAACGAGCTTTTTCCAACAGCATCAGTGTAACTCCTTGCTCAAGTGAGGCATTTTGTTCTTCACGGCCAGAATATAACTGTATACCTTATGAAGCCAGTCTTTTTTGTCCAACCTGTGTCCAATGTGCTTCATTCATTCGAAGTTCCACCAGGTTGTATGTTTTCATTTCTGTAGCAACTGGGACGACTCTCCTGGTCTCTAACATTATGCGATCGTCAATCAATTAATCGACCAATCAACAGCAGCGTACAACTTCGTAAGTATGAACACCAGTTCAAGTTTCTATACCACATTAGCACAAAGATGCAATTGTCACTTCAAATCGCATAGTAGTCGAGGTAGTAAAAGTATTAGCACTAATCGTACCTGAGTTAACGGTTACTCCATTTGTCAGAAGGGGCATCGGATTCGTGAATGTCAAAGCAAAGGCTTTCATCACGAGACAACATAACTCTTCTAAATACAGACCTTCCAACTTCCAAGCAGAGTTCAAATGGTCTGAATTATTTGTTGTGGTTAGCGCTTTTTTAGCGAGTTAATTTTACATGGGATTGGGTTGCTAACTCAATGCAAAGCTTTCTTCCTTTATCCGGGTTTGGGACGGGCAGTAACCCTAGAAGTGCTCCAGGTGGAGTTATGACAGAGGTTAGTCGAATATTAATTAAATAAATTTGGTTGACTATTCACTCATTCACAAGTTAGTTTTCGTTTCGATTCAAAGTGATACAAACCTAATATCAAGTGTTGCATGGTATTCAAACTAAAGATGAATATAAGCCATAAATCCTCATTGTTCGTCAAAAATTACATCTGAATTCAGAAAGTAATTTAGATTTATGTTAATAAACATTACATACACATAGTTCCCTTTATTATTACCATCATTTAATCATGATGCAGCCATTTGTTTCTGGTCCTTTAAACTTCTGTTGTCATCAGTGTAGTAGGATATTCTCCTGTATAAAGTATATAATGACGACCTTTTATTCAGTCTATTTGAATCATTTATACCGTTGCTATGACTGTACTGATGTATGATCATAGCAATTTCCAACTAAGTGAACTCTTTCATGAAAGTAATTTAAATCGAATTTATTACTTTCTTACTTACGCCTGTCACCCCCAATGGAGCATAAACAGCCGACCAGTGTTCTTCAACCTACTCTGTCTTGGGCTTACCTTTCTAATTCTGTTCAGTTTTTATTCATTCTTCTCATGTTTGTCTCCATTTCTCCGCATATTGGGTTTCTCGGCCTTCTTCTTTTCCTTTGACATTCAAGGTTCCAAGTCAGGGCTTGTCTTGTGAGGCAGTTGGGTGCTTTCTGCAGTGTGTGACCTATCCACCTCCAGTGCTTCTTCTTGAACTCCTCCTCCACTGGAATCTGGTTTGTTCTTTCCCACAGTTGATAGTTTTGTGATGCTTCTTTAATATGGAGTAATCTTGCTTTATATTGAACTCATATTAAGCAGGTTCTAAAAGAAACATTTATATTAACCACACAACGTGTAGCTAATCAAACTTGTAAGAAAAAAATTGCAATCCTTTAACTTATTAGATAGTTTTTAGAATAAATAGATTGTAACTGTTAGTGGAACTCTTGTCACAGATTTACTATCATATGTGTCAATGTGTAACTCCGCCAGTAGAACCTTAGGGGCTACTGCCGGTGCCAAGCCCAGGTAAAGGAGGGGGGTTGGACATGGGGTTGGGGACCCCATTCCGTCGAAATCTCACTTGCCAAAAAAACGCTAACTAGTGTCAATGTGTACATTGAAACTCGAATCCAGTACTTATCATTTCAAATGTCAACATACATATCACTATTGATCTATTCAACGAAGATCATACCTTTTGAAGTGTTGTGTTACTTAAGTTGGATAGATGAATTGAGAAATTTTCATTTTTGTTCATACATAATGTATCGTAACCTTTATCATCATTATTTGTTCATAATTAAAATTGAAGTAGGATTAAAAGATATTAGATGATAAGATTTTTTAATCAGTCCATTTTGAACATGTTGATGACTGATATTAATTAGTAGGTTTGGTTATCCTTTTAGTTGAGTAACGTGTTTGATTACCTTGTGACTATGTAGCTGACTGATGTTTTCTCGTTTAACCTGATGAGTTCGGTTATTATCATTATTGATGTTGAATGTAGGTAATAAACTAGATGGTTCCATTTGTAAAGCTTTTATTTCTCCTTGAAATCTTTATTTTGCATGAATCGAACATCAATAAAGTAATCTAGAACTTACTTCAGCAAATAAGAATGACTTTATCAGGATCCTTCAAGCATTTAAAATGATACTGAAAGACAACTTAATTAATTCTATCAATCACCTTTAACGTTTTCTTGTTTATCTTAAATGGACGATTAACATAGAGGATCTCTTCCTTCATGAAGTTAGAAAAAACAGAAGTCTAAACTACTCTGAAGACGTAATGTTGCTAATCTCAGTGGTTGGTAAAATATGATGACATACTTTCATGGTTAAAATCACGAACTAACCTTAGATAGATCATCATTGGAAACCAGGGACAACTGGACGACCGTTTCGTTCCAGCATAAAACTCCTCAGCACCCACGGCCCTACAAGCATGAGTCAAACACAGGAACTTCAGGTCACGCACAAGACCACTGAGTCTGCATCTAATGCTATTAATATTTAACTTCAATCAATAACATATATCTGTCAATGAGTATCGCAGTTTTTTTACAAGATTGTAAATGTGAAGAAAGAAAACAATCAATAAGCGAACTGTTTAAATCAATTACTTTCACTGATTCATTAAAACACGAAACAGAAAAAAAATCACATCAAATTAGAATATTTTCATATTCAAAGATGATTAATTGATTTTAAAAGGCATAAAATCTAAACTGTAAACAAAGTGACTAATTGTTTAACATAATAATAATAATATTACTAATTGTAGATTCTTATTTATAACTTTCTTCATAAACAATGAATCATATAGAAAGAGGTCTTATTAATGATTGTTCAATATTGTTCAATATTCCTTTATGTTTAATGCCAATTGAAGAATGATGTTTTATAAATTCAGTAATAAAAAAAAAATAAACCAATGATTCTGAGACCATTAACTAGATCAAATGAATTTTTATTTGTTAACAGAATTTGTGAATTCACACATTTCATTCATCTGTACTAGTGTATCTTTAAAATTTTTTTTCTGTATATGAAATAAGATGAAGAAATCGATATGCGATTGTTGATTTGTTTAAAGATTGCGCTTTTCATCACTCAATGATGTTGTTTAAAGAAGTGTCGGGGTAAAAAGTATTTTGATAGTCTTTATCAAGCCTATGAAGTCCTCATGTTTGTACTGAGATAGTTATTAATACTGATAGTGATTAATAGTAATTATATAACTGATCGATTCATGTTAGGCTACCATTCCAAACCTGGAAGCATTGGACGACCGTTTCGTCTTGGTATGAGACTCGTCGGCAGTGCGCATTGATGACTGCCATCACTTACAGGAATCGAACCCAGCACCTTCAGTTAGACATTGATCGATCC